GAAAACCTACCCGTACCACTCAAATTAGAAAACATTATTATAAGCTAACCGTTGTGAATCGGGCTAAAGTAAGGCCATAGTTTTGAAAACTGGCTGGTTATGTACTTGCTCAAATATTGATTTTGGATCACTTTTAACCAAAACAAGTTATAGACTGCAGCTTTAAATATTAAAATGTTATGTTTGATTTGCATTAATGCTTGAGTTAATGTTTCTAATTTTATTTGTTGTATGTGTATTTGTGAATAGAATTTATATTTAATAAATTATTTATATAATTATAGAGGTTATGTAATTATATTTATAATTTACCATTAAGAAACGTTCTTTTTTAGGAGTACTTGTTTTATTCTTTAATGCAATTGGTTTCCTCAAATTATTTGCATTAAGTCATTGGGTTTTATAGTTTGAGGTTGTCTAGAAGCAAAATAAGATAGTAAAAGACAAAGAAAAAGTCAACAAATTGACACAGGCTTTATTATTTTCAATCTAACTTGGTTGCTTTATGGTAACTTGTTCATTAGGTTTTATAGGGAATAGCCAACTGTGCTAATAGGAAACCAAGCTGAAACAAACAGAAACAGCCATTATGGAGTGAGGTCACATTAAATAAAACGAACCAAAACTCAACCCAGATGAAGGCCTTGCTAATGGACCATTGCGTGTAGAGATTCAGCCTCCACCCAAAGTCCTGGCTCATGCATCATTAATACTGTTCAATTAATAATGCAGTCAATGTGACTATTAAACTCTCATTTGACTATAATTGCCCTGTGATCGATCTTGTACGAGAGACAATCGAATTCTCTGAGCTCTGATTGGATTGGATCTTCATAGAAGGGCATCAGTGCTGCAGTGTGGCTGTTGGTTGGTCAGCGCAAGTGGAGGATTTGTACTTACAGAGAGGGACACAGACAGATGCATTGGCATTAAACAATAGGTCTTGTCATTTAGACAAACAGGCCAATTTAGAATCCCTTTCACTTCCATTTTGAGAGAAGAGTTGCGTAAAAATGAGACAACCTCATTCATGGTGGCGGAATGCTTTCAGATTCCTTTGGTATGCAACTGCTGACATAGTATCACTCTTAAAAATTCTATTCTAATTAATATAATTACGTTCTATTTTTAACTGTTCATTTGGTTTTTAAATTTGTAATCATTTAACTGAACATTTTTAAAAGTAAAGGTTCTTTATTGGCATTGATGGTTCCATGAAGAACATTTCTTTTAACATCCATGGAACCTTTTCATTCCACAAAAGTTTCTTTATAGTGGAAAAAGGTTCTTTAGATTGTTAAAATGTTATTCACACTAAGTGATTGCTGATGTGACTGAAAGTCATTGATTTTTGCTGTTGTCAATGATGTTTTTCCTACATGCTGTAGGACAATTCAATATCAGCTCAATGTTGCTTAGAGAGGTGCTTTACTGAATTACTTGTCAAAGTCTTAATCACTGCCTGTGGCATAATGTTGAATTCAGAGGACAGTTGGAGAGATGAAGTCATTGAATTGTTCTCATGGCAATATAAATACAATTTTTGGGATTTTTTTGATTTGCTTTGTAAAGGTTTCCTCAAAAACTGTGGCTTAACTCAAAAAAGTAATTCAGTGCAGTGAAAAGTCATGCTTTATTCATCACATTAAATTAAAATAAAACTATATTATATAATTTTATAATATATCATTTATATAAGTAGGCAAATTATTAGTTATTATTACACATTACCTTTGTTAACAAGATGACAAAATATTTTCAAGAGAAATTTATAGAAGACAATTGAAATTGTTGTGAATACGGTGAAGTATGATTTTACACCTCAGTACTATTCACCTATAGTTCAGGTAAATCCATTTAACTGTTTGGAAATGTGTGTGAATAATTTTTTTTTTTTTGGTCAGTTAAAGCCTTTTGATCTATATATTATATTCCTCTAATTAACTCCTAAGATTTTAAGTTAATATTTTAGTAATTTAACAACATATTCATGTGTTTACGGTTCTCTGATGTCTTTAATGGTCACATGACATACAAGTAAACAAATAAAATATTTAATATTTTAAACAAGTGTTAAAGAAGATATTTATATTGATTTCACGTTTTTTATTTAATTAATAGTTATTTTTTTATCAATTTAAATAGTGAGATTGATCAACTTTTGAGCAGTGTTCTTATACAATTTTCATTCTGCTTCAAAAGAAATATAATTACTTTTTGATA